GGGCAGGTGGTATTATTAGTTCTGTGATGGGCAGAGGTAGATATGGGCAGGAATCTCAGGATGGGCTGCACTTGTTTGTTGTAAATTGCCCAGAGTTCCCCCACTGGGGGGAGATGGGCGGTTGAAAAATTTAATAAATAAATAAATGTGTTGCAGTTAAACCACTATCAATATAACAACATCTTAAAAGACATGGGTCAGATTAAAAAAGATAAACCATGTCTTAGCACAATATGTGAACGTAATCATATGATCTGTACAGTTTTGCTTTGATTTGTACTATGCTACACAATTTATGCATTATCGCTTAACGTCATCTGTAAAATACAAAATGCTTTGTTCAATAAACCACAGATACAACTAACTATGGCTACATATTTATTATGTAGAAAATGTAAATGTCACAGGGGTATACAAAACTTTTTGACTCAGAATGTTTTGACCTTGAAATGGCCTATTTCAGTGTTTCAAGATGGAATCACAGTAAAACATTAACAAACCAACCAAAGGGTGTCCACTAAAGCCAAATAATTATGTAATTATTACATAAATGTACTTAAATTGTTCAGAATCACTCACCAAACCAACCAACTTTTCCATTATTTGGGGATAAAGTCCACTGAACAAAGGTCTGAAAGTCAAGTTTTTACTATCAGAGTCTTATGAGTAGCTCAGCCCTAACCCATGGACACCAGAATGAGTACCTTAAATTTGGTTTGATAGGAATGAAGCTGTTTCAGCGTAAGTCTAATGAGGGACCTCAAGAAACACTCATTCACCACTGAAATTATTGCTCAATGCAGCATAAAACAAGATAAATTGTTTTGAATTAAGCAGTTTATACTGAAATATATACATAACATGAAGCTATGGTTAATATCAGGAAAAGTAAAGATAAATTACTACCTGGGAGGGGGGGAGAGTGAAAGCAGGAAAAAACAAATCTAACCCTCCAATCTTCCCTCTAATCACAGATTTACCTGTCAATATATCTCCTAGCTTCCACATTGTCTAATGCAGTTACAATTACATCTTGCTTGGAGTAGAAATCATCATTGTATATGTTCTCAGTAGCTGGGCACACTTTGTTAAGATATGAATCTATCTTTATCTCAGGATTGATACTACGTGTTGCTGCTGCTGCAGTACAACTCTTGGGTTTCTAAACAAAATTGAAGTTAGTCTGGTCAATATTTTTCAGTACAGAAACAATGCCTACAAAATCAAGCTTCAAAATTAGTATCACATTCAGACTCAATGATTTAATGATATAGCATGAATAACTAACAAATCACATTAAATATATTGTTATAGGTTTTAATTGTATATTTATTTATTGTTTTAATGTGTTGTGAGCCGCCCAGAGTCCCCCACTGGGGGGAGATGGTGGGGACAAATTCAATCAATCAATCAATAAATAAATAAATGCAAGGTAACAACTTTTTCAAGCTAATGGCATCATACCATCATCAATTTTCCATGATGGTATTACTTAAAAAAAAAAATTCAATTCCCCAAATCTTGCAACATTAAGTCCTTGCTTAACGAGAGTAATTGGAACCAGAACTTCCATCACTAAGCAATGCAGTCATAAACATGTGACCACATCACTTAGTGCTGGCAATCCCAGCAGTCCCCATTGCCATCATTAAGCGAGGATCACTGGTTGTTAAGCAAGGGCCTCATGTGACCACAACTTCTGACTCCTGCCAGCTTCCAACAAGCAAAGTCAGTGGTGAAGCTGACAGGAAGTTGCAAGTCCTGGTCACAACAAGCCTTTCCTTAGGTGGCTCACAAGCAGTTTGACAGACAGGTGAGTGCTACAGAGTGCAGGCGGGTGGGGATGGGTGCTGTGATGGGGTGCAAGGGCAAGTGGGGGTGGGTGCTATGGCATGGCACAAGTGCAGGTAGGGGGTGGTTGCAGCAATGCAGTGCAAGGGCAGGTGGGGAGGTACCACAGCACGAGTACAGATGGGCAGGGGGTGCTCTAGTGCAGCATGAGTGGGCAGATGGGTGATGCAGCACAGTGTGAGTTCAGGCGGGGGTGCAGATGCTGCGGTGTGATGTGAGTGTGGGCGGGTGGTGGGTGCAGTGGAGCAGCACAAGTCCAAGAAGGTAGGGGTGAGTGCCACAGTGCAAGTGCGGGAGGGGCAGGTGCTATGGGCCAGTGCGAATGAGGCCTGCCTGGCACCCACACTCACCCTGCCATCTGGGAGCTCCTTGGGAGAAAAAGCAGTGGGAGCGACTTACCAGAGTGACTTGCGAACTTCTGCCAGCTTCCCCATTGACTTTGCTAATGTGGGAAGCCAGCAGAGAAGGTCACAAATGGCAATCATGTGACTGCATGACACTGCAACCATTGTAAGTGTGAGCCAGTTGCCAAGCACCCAAACCACAATCACGTGACCACAGGAACAGTGTAACAGCCGCAATGTTGAGGACTAGTCAAAAATCCCCCTCATTCAGCACCGTCATAACTTTGAACAGTCACTGAATGAATGGACATAACCTGAGGACTACCTGTATGTTAAAATTAGTTGTGGTAAATTGACAGTCCACATTAATAATCACACTGATAGAGTTACCCATTCTGTTGAGGCCATAGTGCAATTTGTTTTAAATATATTGGTACTGCTTTTTATGAGACTGTTTTAATATATCAGATTTGAGTAAGCCATAATTTGAATTAGATATTGTATTGTATATGGTATGGCAAATTTAAAACTGTCATTATTTTGGGCCACCCATGCCATATTTATGTTGCACGTTGTTTATTGTTGTTTTAATATATTTATTTCCTGATCCTTTGAAGATCAGGTTTGAGACACAATTATAGGGATATACAGTAGCTCCACATTTCAGACAGAGGTCCTTCCCACTGATATTATACAACATCTTCTTAATAGAAGATGTTAAGAACTCAGCCTGGAACCTTCTCAATATAAAGTATATCAGTACAAAGTATAGTGCCAAAATTAATAACAGCATCCAAATATTTGCCCCACATTTAAATATATGGAGACCTAGTTACATTAAAATAGCTATTTTCTGAAAAATTGCAAATTTTTTGTCCTCATAATTCCAACCTACCTGTATGTGATGAGGCCGGAAAAGAAACTGCCTATTCAAGTTGGACTTTTCTATTAAGTCAGGATCTGTTATTTCAACCTGCATGTTGAACAAATTGATGAAATTATGAGTTAATACTAAAATGATCAAAATTGTCATATCAGAATCAGTATTTGAAATATTCTGCTTTCTTCCTTCATATTATTTTAAGAATAGGAATAGAATATTTCCAAAATATTGTATGTTGTATTCCATTATCTTAAACCAGGGTTTCTCAACCAGGGTTCCGTGAAACTCTAGGGTACTGTGACAGGTCACTAGGGGTTCCCTGAGAGATCATGATTTAAAAAATTATTTCAAATTCAGGCAACACGCTCTCACAGTGATGAGCAGAAACCAAACAAAAATCTAGTTATAACTCTTTCTGAGCTCTCTGGTTGTGTGCTGTAGGACTGTTTTTATTTGGTTGAACTCATTCTTAATTTTTGACATGAGACAGGGGAGACTGCTGATAACAGGTGAACACTATAGTGCAGGAAGGGAGGAATATACTGAAGGAAGGGGAGGGAGAGGTGCATTTTTCAAGAAATTAATGGACTCATCCAATTTAGTCTGTGATGTCAGTCTCTTCCTCCCACATCTTTTCCCTGAGGTTTCTTATTTTATGTTATTTTAATTAAATTTCATACTTGTTTATTCAGTCATTCCTGAGGGCCCAATGTGGCAGAGGAGGTATGAGAGAGAAGGATTTTAGAACAGACAATACTGGTAAGTTTAATGAAGATAATGATAGTGAAGATTTTCAATCTTCTCAGACATTTCCCTGCACTGGTACATCAATGGACTCAAAAAAAAGTGCAACTTTACAATGAAAGCTATTTATCAATGGGTTTTATATGGACTGGTGATCCAAGATGCCCTATTCCATTGTCCCTCATCTGTGGCAAACAACTTACAAATGCAGCAATGGGTCCAGCAAAATTAAAAAGATACTTAACTACAAATCACAGCCATATGACAAGTAAAAGTTCTGATTATTTTAAATAGCTATTGGAATCACAGAACAAACAGAATAAAGCTTTTGTTAATAAAATGACAGTCAGTAAAAAAGCCCAAGAAGCAAGTTATTTAGTA